AAGTCGGGCTCCGTCAATTATAAGCTAACCACGCTATTAGGGGATAAGAATACGACACTCATGGCAGTCTCGTCGGAACTTTTACTGCACGAGAATCGTCTGCATATTGTCCTCTAAGGCTTCGTCGGACGGTGCGAAGAACGGTTGTAGCAAAGCCGAGAAGGGCGATGTGATAGGTCTAGCATGTATTGCCTTTAAAAGCCTGTTGTTATGCACATATGGAAGCGAGGACTCGTAGAGGGAGTCGATCGGTGAAGTTTGCGCGAATACGGATGAGCGACGTGGCATCATATCGCCGGCGAGCACAGTCCATTCTCGGAGAAATACATGTGATCAGGCTCCAGGAGAGGCTGAGAGAGGTTCCCGGCTTGAGTCCATCCCGCTCACACATCCTTCGGGTGGTTTCTTTATTCGTTGGGGAGGCGAGAAAACAGGGGTGGTTGCCCAGGTTTCCTGGAGTCTCCATGGGCATTCTTTTCCAGCACATGTCCGCCACCGTTACGAAATTACAGACAACGAGTACGCTTGGGGGGCTATGAAAATCCACAACCTAGCCCTACAGAGGTGTAAGTGACTATACACTTTGAGGCTTCGAGTGCAAACGGGATCATTCAAATCGATCACTCAAGGGCGGCGATATTGATACGTGATGCTCAGAAGCCTATCCGCAGTGATCTTTGAAGCTGCCGAAAACAAAAAGACCAAAGCCGGACATGGATTAGTTGTTGTAGCCATCGGGTGGGTTTGGACGGTCACTCAGGTCTACAGCGCGGCAAAGCGTGAGCTGGCAGAGGGGCAAACAGACGATTCATCGGATAAGGCAGGCCGCGTGATGCTGCCAGATGTCATAGTATATATAATCGTGCCAAAGGACGACCATAGATGCAATACATACTGGTTTACGGCTGGCCGTGCAAGCTTAATATTTAATTCGAATCAACAGCGTCGAATTCTTCCATGCGTTGTCGCTCGCTTAGGATACAGTTCAGTAAACTGCCACATACCAGAAGACTCCAAAAGACAGAGAGAGCCTCACAGCCAAAGCGCGAACGCGATTGATGGCTTTCAGTCATACAGACTAAATTACCGGTTGGGCTTATGCCTTAACGAATAATTTACCGTAATCCCTACCCTTTGAGCGCCACTGATGACCAAACCCCTCCAAGAACAGCAAGAAACACGAGGTTCTGACACGCGGCAAGTCCAGAGTATTCAAAGCGTCGCATAAATGGACAGAGATGACGCAAGCATGCTGTCTGTGTCAGCGGCCAGGCTCAACGGGCTTGCATTGATAGAATACGACCCTGTGTGTTGGTGTCTTTCATAGCGAACGAGACGACGGCGGTACGCACACGGCAGATTCTTCGGACAGTAGAAGAAGAAGGGACATAAGTTTAATCGTCGGATGGAAAATATCGAAAGGAAAGACCCACGATCGATGACATCCATCAAGACCAATACTCAAAGCCGCAGACCGCCAAGCTGTGTGGGATCGGATCGCCACGTGCAGTCAAGATGATCCCCGCTTTAGCCCCCGGGGGGCGGGGCCTCCAGTTCGGTACTCGGCGGAGGCACCGCCTGGCCCCCTCCGGGGCCCAAAATAGTGGGGGTTGAAAAGGAAGGGGGCACGGGCCCCGCTCCCATTGGCATCCCACCTTATCGCGGCGCCCCACGGCCCGACCGATAAGACTTCACCGCCTCAACCCCTCTTGCTGCACGGCCTCAGCCGCGGGCGGGACGAACCGCACAACCGCCTGCCCGGTGTCGCACGGCGTGCGAAACGTTGAGGCGATGCGCCGTAGAAACGACGAGTATTGACGTCGAGACTGGGTGCCTTTCATGATTGATCTCGAAACCTTTTAGCGACGGCACGTTTTGTTTTCTGCCGTCGCATGTCGTCGTGCGCACCTTGATCGCGGGGTCAAAAGTGACGTAATCTGGTGTTGCGCAGTGAAGTCCGCGCACTGTATCCCGGACGGTACGACGAGCCCCTGAAGGGGGCTTAGCGCTGGCTCACTTCCCAACCCAAATACTGGATGATGAGGGCATCGCGACCACCGATGATAGTCGTTTTTCGTGTCGCATGCATAGCGCCTTGTGCGCGCATCGCTCCAAATGCCACTGATCACTGGAAACTATCATGGAAATTCCAATGCACCCACTCAAATTGATGCATCAACTTTATTCAGAGGTAGCGCTCGTGTTACGTGGCTACAACCATGTGCTCGTTGCACAGAGTCCAGGTTAAGTCAAGCCAAGCCACGCGCAAACAATTGCAACGCAAAACCACAGTCGCACAACGGTACCAAGAGACTCTGCGCACCCTCCAAAGGAAACAGAAAATCTAGGAAATACACGGTAAAACAGGAGGAAATACCAACATCAGGAACAACTCAACCTGCCCCCCCCCCCCCCCCCCCCCCAAAAAAAACTCGCCGTTGCAGCCACGAAAGCCTATACAAACATATCGAAAAATAAAAAACGAAGAAGAAACGAATACATTAGAAAACATAATAATAAATTCATCGTAGATGGTAATCGGGGATGGGGGTATACTGGGGTGGCAACAAAGAAGTATATCTCGATGTCTTTTTTAGGGGATGCG